ACAGTTTCTTGTGGTATTAAGTCCACAGGTGAACGTCATGATGGTAAGAAATCATTCCTTTTTTTTTTCCTCTTTTTTCTTTCTTTCTTTCTTTTTTTTTTCAGGGTGTGGGACTCTCCCCATAAGGTTCTGATATAGTACAGATTGTCTTTAAATTAGTCCTGTTCAGGTTTATTAGCATGTCTATGCGCATGTGTTTGGCAGGCTGCTTTTTCAACACTTGCTAGCCCATTGAAATCTACAAGAATGTTTGAGAATCTTGTTTTAACATTTTTCTGTAGCTAACTGTAGTAAGTATGCTTGCTACTTCACTGTGGTAGTTTGTGCTCTAACAATGCCATTAAAAATTTCTTGTTGAAGCTTTTAGAATTCAGTTGAAAAAATTGCTTAGGGCTAGAGCTTAGTATGGAGTTCTTAATCAAGGAGCAACTAAAAATAAATAGCTTGGATAGCACTTAACCATCTGTGGACTTTTACTGCCCCCTCTGTAAAAGTCTCAACACAAGTATTTTTTGGCAGTTGCAGCCTGAAGATGACTTTGAGAGCAGTGTTCTGCTTAGTGTTCAGCATGACATTCTGTTTCTATGTGGCTCAGCTGTTTTTCTGGAAAATCCTTTTTTGGAGAGAGTGAGAGAGAAAGTATGACTCGCAATGTGAAAATGTAGTAACTGAGCTCTGATTTAAAGCAGTAATGGTCACTGTTTCCCCCCCACATGCACACCTTTTCCCCACATGTTAAAAAGGAAAAAAAACCCTGCCTGGTTTCATGATATAATATTTCATATTTACATAGCACCTTCCAGCTGAGGATTTCAATTCTTTATAATAGTCTGCATAATACTTTTACAAAGTAGATAAATATTGTCATTTTACAGCTGAGTTAACGTAGTTGTAGAGAAGTTGAGACTTGTCCAAAGGTATTTGGGAAGCTTGTGGCAAAACTGGGAATAGAACTCAGATCTCCTTTAGCTAAAAATATACTTGATGTTTGTTTTAAATTTGGCAGGTCATTAGCGCAGCATTTGGAATAGCCATTAAAATTTTGTAGAAGAACAAAACCCACAAGGTAACATTAGGGAAAGTATAAACATAAAGATAAAAGTCATTGGCCATAATTTTCAAATTTTGGTTACTAAACTTAAATTAAATTAATGGAGATATCCTATCTCCTAGAACTGGAAGGGACCTTGAAAGGTCATCAAGTCCAGCCCCCTGCCTTCACTAGCAGGACCAAGTACTGATTTTGCCCCAGATGCCTAAGTGGCCCCCTCAAGGATTGAACTCACAACCCTGGGTTTAGCAGGCCAATGCTCAAACCACTGAGCTATCCCTCCCCCGAATCTTTTCAGTGGTGCTGAGCAACAACTCCATCTAAAGTCAGTGGAAGTTGTGAGTGCTTAGCACCTTTGGAAATCTGGGAAATTTTTTTTCAGGTGCCTAAATATGGATTTAGGTGCCTGACTTTAAATGCCTACGTTTGAAATAGGGATGATTACCCAAATGGCTTTCTGTATGGTTTAGCACAAGCTATATAGAAAGTTGGTTTCTGCAAATGTTTTTCAGATCCTGCTCAGACCTAAATACTCCCTCCCTCCCCTGAGATCGGTTAATGATGGCAAATCAAACTTTGCCTGAAAAATGTGTCTGTCTTAACAAACCTGCACTGTAATGTGCCTGCATAGTATCATAGTCATGGCTGCATAAGAAGCAGTTGAAACTAAAATGGAAAAAATTACTCAGGCAAAGTCTTTTTAGTAACATTGAGATGACCCATTGATCACATAACCATAGTATAAAATGTTGCTGTTTTTATGGTGTAATGATATCTACAATGAATGGCTGGAGGAGCTGTTGATGCATATTATGAATAATTGTATTTGGCTAAAAAGCTGCATGATACACAGTGCATACTAATTCTTAATACGCATTCACAGCTTTCATTATAATGCATTGACATGATACATTGTAACATCTTCAAAGGGTATCTTGTCAATGTGCAGTATTCTTCATACCTTCAGGTGCATCCATTTCAATCCATGCAACAATAGATCCTCGAAACACCACGGAATGGATTGAAACAAAGGTGGCTGGAAGCAAAGTGGAAGGTACAAAAATAACCATAAAAGAAAGTTGGTCTCTTTCATATTTTTCTTTAAAAAGGCACTAAATACAATGTTAAAACAAATGAGATTCTGTCGTAACTAGTGGCAGTGTGGAAATAAGTGTTATGACCCTACCTTCACAGTTCCTGTAAATAAGAGGTATTTCAGGGATTTGATTTAAAGAAGGAGTAAAAGTCTTAACTCCTTTTTGGTTGATTTTATCCACATTACAGTTATTGTAAAGTAAGTATTTTTTCTTACTGCAGTTTGGCTATAGGTAATAGATTTAAATTCCTTTGCTAATAATCCCCTGGTTTGCGGGATTAATAGCATGTGCAATTTTGCTCCAGACTATAAAATAGCATACCAAGTCTTAGTCCAAAAGCAATTTTTTCTAATAAGAATTTAGGAAAAATCCTATGCTTGATTGGTTTCAGATTTTAATAAGTTTTAATTAGGGATTGGAAGATTTCAACAGGTATTAAGAAAAATACACAATTTATTCCTAAAACTTAAAAATACTGTGATTGGCATCAACTCTGTTATGCTCTGTTGGATAAAAACAAGTGTTAATGACACTGATACGCTCATTAACGTAGATCTGTTGAAATGCCGTGTGCACAAATAAATTGCACAAAATCGCCTTATCCTGTTAGCAAATGTATAGGTAAACTAGATGAATCTGAAGATGTAGAGATTAGTGTGCCATATTATATGTATTTATTTTGAAATAGGGACCAGTGTTGTTTGAACAGGAATCCTGTAGGAAAAGGATGATCTGAAACTCACTTTCTAGCAACGCTTTTTTTTTCCTTTTGCAAAACAGAAAACAATTTTTTTTCAAGCTCATGGAAGCAGTAATATATGTACCATAGAAAATCACACAAAATTGTTTTTTGATTAAATATTAATGAAAATTTGTCCTGGGAATTATTAAAATTTAAAAAAGGCATGAATTTTATAATCTTAATTACATTACCCATTACACCCCTATTTGGTATTCATGACAATTTCTGTCAGTTATACACTTTAAATGTCAAGGCAGCCTGAGGCATGTAGTATTACTAGTTTTGTAATCTATTAATAAAATATATGTGGTGGTCACTTAAGTGCCATACACTTGCAGCATACAGTTCTTCGATATCATGTATAAACAGGAATTTAGTTAGGGTTTTACATTTAAAAAAACATGACTATAACAGCATTTTGGTATATTTCAGTCAATTATGAGAAAATTTCTTTTCATTTCTTGAAAGTTATGAAATTATCGAGGTAAATTATTTCTCATTGTTCATATACTCACCTTCAGTCAATTTATATTTTAAATGTAATGTGTCTGGCTTTGATCCAGTCACATTAGTTGTATTTCGTGTGACACACAAAATTAATATCATATCTTTTTTTATTATTAAATTGCTGATAATTTTGGATTTCCAAAACCTGAAATTGTAACATTTCCAGTAGATTAGAATGTAAAATATCATTCTGCCATTTGTGACTTGTCTTAAATATTCTTAATTAAAAAATCTTATTAGTTGCAAAGGTGGATTTTACTTTACTTTTGGCAAAATGCAGTTTATAGACTTACTGTCATAGAAAATAAGACCTTCTTTTAAAGATGTGCAGTAGTATGAAGAAGATGGTTCTTTTCATCACACTCGATGTTCCTCATCCTGCAGTTGGATCCAGGCAGACTACCATTAAAGTCATTCAGACTCCATATAGCTGAAAGGGTACAAATGTGTTTATTGCAAGATCTGTGCCCAGATTTTCTTAAACTGAAGTCCTACTCTGTGTTGAAGGAAAACTTTGATACTCTTTGCATCCTCATTTCATTTTAAAATCTTTTAAAACCATTCTTTTTCAAGATACAAATGGACATTGAGGATGATTTTTGTTTGTACGAGGAATGTCATTTATACTTGCGTTTCAGGAAAGCAGACTTGTCTGTTACTAATTTTGTATCTTTGTGACTGGACTTTACTAACAGAGGTTTTTAATTTATTTTGTCCAGGGGAGGATTATCGGAGAATTGAATTTGGTGTTAATGAAGTTATTGAGACAGAGTCATCTGTGCTGAATAACACTGACTACAGTATTTCGAGCACTCTGAATCCTCAGGCTCCAGAATTTATTCTCGGTTGTCCATCAACTCAGAAAACCCATGATGACATTCTTAATGAAACTAACTACAACTCCATAGACTGCCAGTTCACTGATCCTGCCCTCGCTTTGGATAGCGGTTCTAATCCTGAAAATGATAGCTTATCTGGGGGCCTTGGACAACGGGAGCGTAAAAAGAAGAAAAAAAGACCACCTGGATACTACAGTTATTTGGAAGATGTCAGTGATGGCATTGTTCCTGCAGAGGCTCTTGTAAATGGCCATGCAAATTCATCAGGACTGAATAGTATAAGCACAGAAGATACGGAACTTACAGGAGACAGACCATCATCAGCCTCACCAAGGACTTGTAACAGCCCTGAAAATTCTGTGGACTTCATTAGTGAAGCTGTGTCTGATGATTCTGTTTCTAGTGTATTAGACAATACCAGGACTGCAGGGCAGCCTGAGATATGCAGTGTTACCAATTCTGAACAATTCTGCATCCCCTCAGAGGCTGGCAGAGATAGCCCTTTAAGGACAGCTGTTGTAGAACCTTATGATGGTACTGATACTACTGAAAATCTTGGTGTTACTAATGGACAAACACTTGAATCCTCTGGTGAGGGCACAGCTGCCAATGGGGTAGAATTGCACACTATGGAAAGCACTGACTCAGACCAAGCTAAGCCCGAGGATGTTTCACCTACTACTGAGGCGACAGCCCCGGTTTCAGGATCAGTCCTTGTTAATCAGCCTGCAAAATCGTGGGCTAGTCTTTTTCACAATTCCAAGCCCTCTGCTTCCACATCTGTGGCCTATGTTGAGACTAAGTGTACCCCTCCTGCCACATCTACTCTGGTCCCTGAAAAACAGGTTGAAGTCAAAGAGGGACCTGTTCCCGTTTCAGAGGATCCTGTAGCCATAAAGATTGCAGGTATAGTTAACAGACACTAGAGTGGACGTTCTGGTAGAAGAGTAACACATTCTGCCTTAAAATAAGAGTGTACAGTATTGAGAGAGAGAAGAGACACTTAAGTTAATGCAAGATTAAGGTTGATTTTAATGACACAATTCCGAAAATTAATATAGTTATAAAGTGGGTAACTATTTCAGCTCTGTCCTTTGAATAAACATTGCAATAATGTAATATCATATGATCATACAACAAATACAGTAATATAAATGCTACATATAAGCATCTAAAGCCACATGAGGTATGGTTTAATTTTAACAGCACAGAGTTTAATTTAACAGTCTTACTGGAGGAGCAGTTTAGAAAAAGTGTTTGCTTTCTGTTGAACTGTATTTGCTAAATAGTATGTCTCATTGCCCAGTGTTTGTGAACCTGTTATAATGCATACATTCAAGGCAAGAGTGTTCAGATTGCTTATGTTAGAGTTAAGAAATTCAGTTAATGTTAATATTTCAGCTATAACAGTTCATTAACATAATTATTTGATTTTGTTTTATCCTTTTTAGGGCTGTCAAACGATTAAAAAAAATTTACTGCAATTAATCACAGTTTTAATCACACTACTAAACCATAATAATACCATTTAATTAAATATTTTTGGATGTTTTCTACAGTTTCAAATTGATTACAGTTACAACACAGAAAACAAAGTGTACAGGGTTCAATTTAAATTATTTTGATTACAAATATTTGCACTGTAAAAATGATAAAAGAAATAGTATTTTTCAATTCACCTCATACAAGTACTGAAGTGCAATCTCTTTATCATGAAAGTGCAATTTACAAATGCAGATTTTTTTTGGTTACATAACTGCACTCTAAAACAAAACTATGTAAAACTTTAGAGCCTACAAGTCCACTCAGTCCTATTTCTTATTCAGCCAGTCGCTAAGACAAACAAGTTTGCTTACATTGTAAATAAGAAGCAGGAAGCGGTATCTCCCGTCAATGTCACCTGAAAGTGAGAACAGGTGTTCTCAAGGCACTTTTGTAGCTGGCATTGCAAGGTATTTACATGCCAGATATGCTAAACATTTGTATGCCCCTTCCATGCTCCGGCCACCATTCCAGAGGACATGCTTCCATGCTGATGATGCTTGTTAAAAAAAATAATGCGTCCATTAAATTTGTGACTGTACTCCTCTGGGTGAGAATTGTATGTCTTCTGCTCTGTTTTACTTGCATTCTGCATATATTTCATGTTATAGCAGTCTCGGAGGATGACCCAGCACGTGTTCGTTTTAAAAACACTTTCACAGCAGATTTGACAAAATGCAAAGAAGGTACTGATGTAAGATTTCTGAAAATAGCTACAGCACTTGACCCAAGATTTAAGAGTCTGAAGTGCCATCCAAAAACTGAGAGGGACGAGGTGTGGAGCATGCCTTTGGAGTGTAGCTCTTTTAAGACTTCTAATGTGGAAACTACAGAACCCAAACCACCAAAAAAGAAAATCAACCATCTGCTGGTGGCATCTTACTCAGATGATGAAAATGAATATGCGTTGTCAAGCGGAACCCATCAGCATGGAAGCATATTGTCTGGAATGGTAGTTGAAGGGACATATGAATCTTTAGTGCATCTGGCACGTAAATATCTAGCAATGCCAGCTACAACAGTGCCTTTTGAATGCCTGTTCTCACTTTCAGGTGACATTGTAAACAAGAAGCAGGCAGCATTATCTCCTGCAAATTGTACCCAGCCTTGTTTGTCTGAGTGATTGGCTGACCAATAAGTAGGACTGGGTGGACTTTGTAGGCTCTAAAGTTTTACATTGTTTTATTTTTGAATGCAGATTTTTTTGTACGTAATTCTACATTTGTAAGTTCAACTTCTGTGATAAAGAGATTGCACTGGTCACCTAATTGTATGAGGTGAATTGAAAAATACATTTTTTGTTTTTTTCAGTGCAAATATTTGTAAAAAAAATAGAGCACTGTACATTTTGTATTCTGTGTTGTATTTCAAATTAGTATATTTGAAAATGTAGTAAACATCCAAAAATATTTAAAATAAATGGTATTCTATTCTTTAACAGCGAGATTAATCGCAATTAATTTCATTAATCGCTTGACAGCCCCCCCAAAAAAGAAAATTTAGTGTTTCAGTAAGCAGTCAAAACAACCCTACCTGCATTTGTGTGGATTCGTAATCCCCCACATCTGGAGAGGCTTTCTTTAAACAATATAAAATAAAATCACCTCTTATTTGTAACCAATGAACAGGCCTGAGCAAAGAGAAACCTCAGCCCAATGATACTTTGTGGGTAAAGATATAAATTTATAAAAAATAGGGGCTTTGGCCAGAAGTGCCATCATATCCATAGCTATAACGAAATATGCTAAAATATATGTTCTGGTAAAATTGAATAAGAATTTGCAAAATATGTAATACCTAATTAATTGTCCTTCAAGACTTCAAGAGACTCAGTCCATGGGTATTTACTTTTCCCAAAATGTTGTCATATGAATCTGCAAAGTAGAATGCATTATGTAAAAATGCTTGCACACAATCCTGTTGATATGCCATTAACCAATCTATAAGTAAACTGGAAACTAGTGTGTGGACAATTTCTAATGAAAGATTATCTGTATTTGGGAGTTTTCTACTCTAACCAGAAATTGACCGAGGGCTTTCTATCCCAAACCAGCAGGACTACTTGTGGAGGTAAATAGTCTATTTTTTCCCTGTCATTAGTGGTTCTGTTTGAGGCTTGTAAGTAGTAGTCTCACTCACTAAAGATACTTACGATCTGTAATTTTGCCTCAGGGCGGGGGCAAATCCTACATGACTTATTCACACATGTAGTCTTATTTGCTTACGTGGAACTACTCGCATAAGACGATCAGTGTTTGGCTCTTGAAATCTCATGGTACTGACCTAGCCCAGCTCTGCTTTGCTTTTAAACTAGATGAGATCAGACATATTCAGAGTAGCACAGAAATGGCTGTTTAAAGAGAAACTGTCAACTTTAAAATTATACTACAGTCTCATTTTTTCCCAAATATTGTTGTAACACCTAAAATATTATAAGTGAAAGAAATTACAGGAACTGTTCTTTAGTTTGTTGTTGATTTGAAAGCACTTCGTTTTGTCATTTTGGTTATTTTCTCTGTATAGCCAGATACTATTTTTTCCCCCTGCTTATATGTATCTTTCACCACGGAAGAGGAGAGAAAAATGTATTTTTTTGAAAATTATTATAAAACTGCAAAGTTGGCAACCGGTACTTAAACGGATATAGTCCTTGAAATTACTTTTAATTTTTTTAAGTGATTAGATTAAATTGACTAGATGTAAAGCATCCAGCAATTGACTCAATACCAACATTGTTATTCCTGTATTTATTTTATCACAAGATGCACTTATACTTTGGTTATATATTATTTGAGTTTTCTTACCCCGTTAACTTTAAAATGTGTTAAACTGCACTGTGGGTAACAAGTTTAAAAATTATGAAGGTTATTGCTGTAGTAAAATGGTGAAGAACAATTTGACTTTACCCTTTACCCCTTTGACTTAAAGGGCCATTGGAAAATATATAGGTTCATTTTCAGGTTTGCAGTTAATTGTTTTTGAAAGGTTTTACAAATACTGTGGCTCTAGGGTCACAGGCAGCAGATGAGCATTAAGCTCTCATTTAAAAAAGTCAAAAAATTTATTTTGTTAAAAAGTTCATAAAAAATGGTGTCGTAAAATAGTGAGATTTAACATTTATATTTTGTGAAACTGAATTTTTAACTTTTATTTAAGATGTGATTTTTTTGAATTGTGTGTTGAGTACTTTAAAAGGATAGCTGAGTTAAAAAAACTTTTAAAACAAATTCCCCTATTTTCAGCTCTTAACAGTTGGAGTAAGTTAGAGCAGTCTTGGGGTTTCTCCATCTGTTCTGTGGATCAGCTCTACATAGAGCTGCAATAAAAACAAAGCCACCTGGATGTACCTGATCAGCCAGACCATAGAATGTAGCTCAATGGGTGGTGGAGTAGGTTTGTCTATCATATACGTAAATATACACACATTTAACTTTTTGTAATTTGTTAATACAAATAAGTATATCCAAAATATATGTACCAAAAACTTTAAAAAACCTCATGTCACTAAAATTTTAAATACTTTTAATGTTAAAATAATAAATTTTCTATTGATGTTTAGGTTCTCTAATGTTATTTTAAAAACATAAATCTGAATTTGGGGCCTAAATTGACCTAATGGCATACCTTTAAGTCTGTCATGCAGTCAGTCTAAAACTAACACAGTATTTCATATGCTTTGAGCTTAGTGGTTATATTTACCTGCTGACGCGGCAGGTTTGGCCGATCGCGGCCCCCACTGGCTGCGGTTCACCGTCCCGGGCCAATGGGGACAGCGGGAAGTGGTGCGGGCCGAGGGATGTGATGGCCACGGCTTCCCGCTGCCCCCATTGGCCCAGGACGGCGAACCGCGGCCAGTGGGGGCCGCGATCGGCCGAACCTGCCACGTCAGCAGGTAAATAAACTGGCCCGGCCCGCTAGGGTGCTTACCCTGGCAAGCTGCGTGCCGAACGTTGCCGACCCCTGTTCTAATATTTGTATTAGGCTTTTATGATTTTGGCCCAATCTGACATGGTGGTGAGTTCTGGCTTTAGGGGGAGGTAAGAGCGTTTATCAGCTTATCACTTCATCTAACTGGGCCCGTTAATGTTTTGTAATTTTACATTTTAAGTGATTTAAAGTAGCAGCGTTGTGCAGTTTAATGACAAATCTGACCGACTTTAAAATTGTTATAATACCATAGGGAATTTACATTAGATTCTAAATACCTCTTATCAAAACAATGAATTGTTCTGTCTAAAAAAAAAAAAACTTTCTAAAAATCCTTTTATCAGTGATAGTGTACACACAAAGTTGAAAAGTCTCTGGAACAAAGATTTTTAACCCCCCCCCCCCCCAATTAATAGGCAAACATACCTTTTTTTCTTTTGAGGGGATATTGCATAGAGTAGAGAGTAGGAATCACTTAATAGTAATTTTAAAATCACAAGTCTTCTTACAAAGTGTATGACTGGCTGAAACTTGGTGTGTTGATCTTAAACCTCTTAGTATCAACCCTAATCTGGAGGGACTACTTTGAGAGGAGAGAGGATAGTTCAGTCTCCGTGTTGATTGGATCCACATCATATGTGCATGCCATGGTGGCTTAGTTGTGTATAACCAACTCAGTTCATATAATAATAGTCAAATTGTGCCATGTATGTGTACACGAGCCACATAGTGTCTTGTTCATCTTGCGATAGTGAATATTGCTATTAAGCCATTTTGTATCAGTTAGTACTAGGGCTGTCAATTAATCGCAGTTAACCTACGCGATTAACTCAAAAATTAATCGCAGTTTTAATCGCACTGTTAAACAATAGAATACCAATTGACATTTATGAAATATTTTGGATATTCAACATTTTCATATATATTGTATTCTGTGTTGTAAATGAAATCAAAGTGTATAATATTTTTGATTACAAATATTTGCAGTGTAAAAATGATAAACAAAATAAATAGTATTTTTCAATTCTCCCCATAGAATTGTAGTGCAATCTCTTGGTCATAAAAGTGCAACTTACAAATGTAGGTTTTTTGTTTTGTTACATAACTGCCATGCAAATGCCTGTTCTCACTTTCTGGTGACATTGTAAATAAGAACAGGGAATCATTTATCTCCTGAAAATGTAAATAAACTTGTTTGTCTTAGCAATTAGTTGAACAAGGAGTAGGACAGAGTGGACTTGCAGGCCCTAAAATTTTACATTGTTTTATTTTTGAATGCAGTTTTTTTTACATAATTCTACATTTGTAAGTTCAACTTTCATGATAAAGAGATTGCACTATAGTACTTGCAAATACTTCCAATCAAAGATAAATATAAAATGAGCACTGTACACTTTGTATTCTGTGTTGTAATATAAATCAATATATTTGAAAATGTAGAAAGCATCCAAAAATATTTAAATGGTATTCTATTATTGTTTAACAGTGCAATTAATCGCGATTAAATTTTTCAATCGCTTGAAAGCCCTAGTTAGAACCAGTTACCCAAGATAAAAGGCCTTACCAGTCACTTTAACTTCCAGCACCTCTGTTGCTTACATCAACAAAATATGTTGGTCTGAAGCTGGTAATGGTCTCAATGAACATGTAATAGGTATGGTTATGGTGCTTCTTCGGGATCAGTTCTTCCACAAGTGCCTTTATCTTCTGACTGTCATCTTACCCCCTTTCCTGATATCAGAAGAAATGTGGGAACATAGACTTGTAGGTTAATTTTCCAACAAACTTTCATTCCATTAATTTTGGCAAGATTTATTTTCTTTACCAAAAGAGTTAAGTCAAATAACTTATATTGCTGTATCATAAGTGAACTTACATTAAAATTTAGCTTTACACATACTGAATATCATTAGAATATTGTTACAATAGTTTATTTATAGGCATTTTGAGACTAAAATCCCCATTCTTAAATTATCCTTTGCTATTTCATTCTTGTTTCAAAATGACTGCAAGATTTTAAATAAATCTGTACTACTATTCTTCCACCAGGTGGGAGCAGAGACACATTTCATAATAGGTGTGTTTGTAATGTAACAAAATAACAATATGATTATATTCCGTTTTCTTTAGCAGCTTGGATTTTGGTAACTGTTTTTCAAAGGGAAGAGTTCACAGTAGAAATTACTCTCCAATCAAAAGGAGACTGTCTCTAGTAACAGCTGGCTTAATTGTAATAAAGTGATTGTTATAATATAGAGAGCTTCTGTGTGAATACTGGCCATTCAACTGAGAATCTAAATACCTCATTAAAACTTGTAATCACTGTGGTTTTCTGATCTTATGGGAAAAGATCATTACTAATCTTGATTATTGGCTGTAAGTGCTGAAGAACATTTTAAAACTTTGGATGTGAAATACGTTAAAGTGCTGTTAGGGGGGGTTGTATAAGTACATACAAATGTGTGTAAAATATTAAAAGAATTTCATTTTATTTTTTTTAATTAATTCCCTTTGCCTAGCTCTGCTGTGCTCCATTTCAGGTCCTGATTCTCTTCTCCCTAGGTGGACATAACTGTATACTAATTATGTCAAACTTTTATTTCTGTCTTGTCATCTGATTTCCCCAGGAATCTCTGAGAACATCCCTCTTACCCCCCCCCCCCCCCCCCATCTTGTGGTTCAAACTTAGGACTAGGAATCAGGAAATCTAGGTTCTGTTTCTAACATTCACATAGATATGTGTGTGACCTTGGTCAGGTCACTTTTTTGTGCCTCAGTTTCACCAACTGTTAAATGGGGACTTAACCTCACAAATCACCTGTGAGGTCTAACTTAAAGTTTGTAAAGTATTTTTACCTCAGATAGAAGGTGCTATAGTAGTGCCAAAGAATCATTGCATAATCTTTTAGGGGCCTTTGTGATTTTAACCCTCTGCCTTCTAGAAGAAGGTTCTATAAAGCTTAAACATGCTGCTTGTTGAGTGAAGTAATTAATTTTGCTCCAAGGGCTGACACGGGCACTGCTACTGCCATCCTAGGGACACAAGACTCAGGGCTAGAAATGAAGGATGGCAGAGTTAGGCCAGTGGGATGCCTTGGAAATATGAAATTGAAATGTGTTTTCATATCACACCATTGTAGATATTGGTTTAATTTTAGGGTTGCTCACAATTGTGGTCCTGCTGGGACTCTTTGTCCACCTGAAAAGTATTTGCCATTGAAACTTTCAATGTCCTTCAACTCTGGGTTATAGTTAATCATAAGATGTAGTAAAATCATTATTTAATGGGTATTTTTAAATTAAAAAATGGAATGCTAACTCTACCTAGATAGCGTCTGTTAACTTATTTTGGATGGATAGAGGATATCCACTCTGTTTTAAAGTGTCTATTTCTTTTCTTTTGCTAGTATGTTAAGCTTTGAACTGACCTCTTATTTAAAGGATGGTATTGATTAGAGAGAATTAGAAATAGACACATGTTAATACTTGATAAATTTTCCAGCAATTGGATTGAAATCATAACAAGATTCTCAAAACTACGTGTTTTAAAAACATACTCTGAAACACAAGTGGAATTTATTTGTCTAGATCAGTGGTTCTCAATTTTTTTAATGCCATGACCCTATGTTAGAATATAAAAATTGTCCGTAGTCTCCCACCTATTTAGTCATAAAGAAAGGGGAAGAGAGTGTTTGTAAACCCACTTCTCCCTGGCCGCACCTCCTTCAGGTTAAAGCAGAGTGTTTTTTTATTTCCTGGAGATGTTCTAGATCTAAACATTGTTTCCAAAACCAACTTTATGGCCACCAGAGGATGCTAAAGATCCTAGCATTACTGGTTGTTTCTTCAGTTTACTTCTGACTGTAAGTTTAATTTATGTTTAAAGAAGATAATGGTGAGGAATGAAATAAACATTTTTCACAAATTCCAAACTTCAGTATTGATTGTTGTTAGAATGGAACATTCTAGGACAGAGTCTTAGTTTAGCTTTTATATAAACTGAAAGTGTTTAGAGAATATCAGGAAGCATTTTTCCTAATTTACTACTTTGAAACTTTCTGTGTTTTAATCTGATGTAGAAGAGAGGTGATATATTATCAGAATGGCAATTTCTTTTTAAGTATGGAAAGGTACTTTTTGAAGTGCAAATTGTTGTTTTGTAATAGATAAAATTCGTAGAGACTTGTACCAGAAATTTTAAGGTACAACTTAAGAAAGCTTTAAGGGGAAGATAATGTGTTTAGCAAACACACTTAAATTAAATATTTAATCTATTAACTAAATGTTTTTAAAAGCTTAAACATTTATAAATCATGCAGCATCAAAGTGTGATATATTTATACTTCCTTTTATTCCCAATAAAATATTTTATATGATAATGTCTAAACTTTAAAAGCTAAAATCTTTCCTTCTAAACAATTTTTAGGGACCTTTCTGTTTCCTGCTGCCTCTTAATATAATTGTTAATTGGATTGTTGAAAGATTTAACTGTTTGGTAGTTTCCAGTATATATTGTTATGATATGAACTAACTTTGTGGTGAAAGTACTAAATTAAAATAGTAAAGAATAGTATTACCAATGGGGCACTGGATTTAGGTAAAAGGACCTGGATTTTATTTGTGGTTCTGCCACTTACCTGTTGTGTGATTTTTTGGGCAGGTCACTTCACCTCTTTGTGCTTTCATTTCTCCTCTCACCCTTTGTCTCTCTCGTCTATTTAGATATGCTTGCTGTGAACGTGTTAGGTCTGATCTGCGTTAAAAAGTTAGGTTGACTCAGCTATGTCACTCAGGGATGTGAATAATTCACAACACATAGAGACCTAATTGTTCCTGGTGTAGACAGCATTAGGTTGATGGAAAAATCCATCTGTTGACCTAGCTACTGCCTCTTGTGGAGGTAGATTACCTATGCTAATGGGAGAACCCCTCCCATTGGCATAGGTAGCATCTACACTGAACTTCTACAGTGTCGCAGCTGCAGCATTTCAAGTCACTCTCTTGAGTTTATACATAGCCTAGCACAATGTGGCCCCAATCTTATTAGGACCCAGATGCTTCTGTAATAAAAGTAGTAATAATCCACTCTTGTTATAAAGGTACACTATTTGCTTAAGCTCCACATTTCACCTATCTTGTAAATTTTTTGTGGGGTGCTGTGCAGGTTCTAAACATCGCATCAGATTTTGAAAAGAGCCCCACATCTAATCCTGTGTAGGTACTGAAATAAATGGCTATATTTACAAAAGTGCTCATCCCCTGTTTTTCTCACTTTCGCAAATGTGATTGCCTTATTTTGAAGCCTAAGTGGAAGCTGAGCAGTTTTGGAAAGGTGGCCCTAATGATGGATGGTGAGCACTTTTGAAGATCTTGGCCCCATTTTTAAAACGTAGGGGACAAGAGACACAGATGGGTATTTATGTAAATCAATGTGTTGTGCTTTCTTTGTTGCTCTGAAACAGCTAGTAACTAACATGCATTATGTTAATATCAGTCCATGCTGGTGCACAAAGATATTTTGGGTACAAAATTGTGTACATTAAACTGAAACAACTGTCAATTTCAGTTCCATTCAAACTAAGAGAGAAGTTTGCTAATTGTTCAATAAAATTGGCTAAATATCCAATAAAATTGGTTGCAAGGGATTACAACTAACGGAGATTTATATATTTTTTAAAAAAATATATATGCATACTGAAGTCTTGTCATTGTTTTATAAGATCGTAGGAGTAGGAAAAGCCTTATTAAAGATTTGATATTAATCCTCACCCAAACTGGAGATAATCTTTCACTGAAAAGGATGTATCTGATATTATACTGTTATGCTGAGGAGTACTGCAGACTGCATCTTTGAGGTTGGATGTGAACGGACCCTTTAATTAATATAACTTTCAAGAATGACTTAATCAGAAGCCAGCAATCTAAGAGATAAGGGGGTTGTGAACTTTCTCCGGAATTTGGGCTAAGTGGATGCAGGGCTTTTTTTTGTTTGTTTTTTGTTTTTTGGAGCATTGGTGTGTGTGCGCGCGCGCGCGCGCAGAGGCAAAAAAAGCAAGAAAGCCAAGCAGTAGCTGGTGAGCATAGTGTGATCCTTGAAAAACCTTGAGAGTATGCTTTTGGGTCTGTTGGCTAAAGAGGCTTGCAGCTGTAAGCTAAGAAACTGCTTCTTTTGTTCTTGAGTCTTTCTGAATTCAAAGAAGCGGGACATGTACATTATTTGCATCTGAGAAAATACCAGACTCCATCAATTTCTATATCGAACTGGAACATCCATAGGGCCCTAATCTTTGACTAGCTGTGTGGGTCAAAAAGGGGCAACAGTACTTTAAATTTAGCCAAAAACAGGCTTTGAGGCAGAAAAATTTGTTGTTGATAGGAATTGAGAGGGGTGATTTGCATTGTATAGCTGAATTAACTTGGTGTTTGCTAGTTACCTTGTACATTTCCTTGATGCTAAACTTAATATTTTTAATTCTACAGAATTACTGGAGAATGTAAAATTAATACATAAACCAGTATCTTTGCAACCACGAGGGCTGATCAATAAAGGAAACTGGTGCTATATCAACGCTGTATCCTTACCTTGGGGAAAATGAAATCTAATTTAAATTCATTAATTTGTATAGTATGGTAATCGTCAGTGTTATGTAGAATACACAATAGACCTGCAGCATTAGATTGACAGTGGTTCTAATTAGCTGCATTAACTGTCTGAATTACCAGTATTGCATACAATTAAAAAAAATTTGTACACTTCAACTATGACTACTGTATGTTGCAAAAGTCCTTACGGTTGTATACCAAAAGAAATAGTGGGTTCTTCTTTGAGGAGTGTCCCTGTGGGTGCTCCACTGCAGGTGTTGGTGCGTCCCCGTGCCTTTGATCGGAGAATTTCAGCAGCAGTGCTCATCTGGGTTGCGCATGCACTCTCCCCGTCTCGTGCTGTTGTTGGCGCTTATCTAGTGCCACGAGACTCGACCCTCCTCAGTTCTTTCTCAACTGTCCTTGGCCTGAGACGAAGCTCCCAGCAGTGTTAAGACTGATAGCTATACTTAGAATTTAGAATAGTTTAGAGTAGTCTTTAGTACCCTACTTAGGTTTACTTATCCCTTTTCCCCCGTTTATATTCTTTTTCCCTGTTTATATATCCACTTCACCTCTGGCCCCTCCATTCTCTAGTGAGGAAGAAGATACTGAAGAGGAGGGTGCCTTCTCATCTCAGCACTCCTCTCCCATTCAATCTACTGCAGCTCTGGGTCCACCTGTACAGTCTTAAAATCCATCACAGGGTTGACACCCCCCTATGGATGTCACTGCTTATGCCATTCCCCACTCAGTGGCCCCCCTGGCAACCCTGGGTCGCATACAGGAGATAGTACCCCAGACTCCCCCACAACCCCAGTTGCTCCACCTTCAGAACCCCCTGAGGAGAGCGTTGAACAGGAGGAAGCCTGGGATCAGGATACATCTCCAACATTTCTTCCTTGTCCCTGGAGAAGGCCATAATGCCACTGCCACCTACATTTGCGGACAATTTTAAAATCTTTCAAGAACTCTAAAAGAATCACTGATACAAACGATTGGACATTCTCCCTATAGCCTCCTCATCTAAAATTGTGCTTCTCATAAATGACACATTCATGCAGCCAGCCAAAAACATATGGCAAATCCCGACTATGATACCGCCCACCTGCAAGTGACCAGATAAGTACTACATTCCCCCTACTGGACTAAACTTCTTATTTTCTCACCCCGCACCGAATTCAGTACCCAGATCCACTCCTTACGACAAAGAGTGGAAACGTTTGGATCTTTTTGGCTGCAGGGCCTATTCATATGGCACTCATCAGTTCCGGATTGCCACTTATGCTGCCTTAATAGCAAAATACAACCACACAAATTATTCCAAACTTGCTGAGTTTATTTACATCATACTGGAGAACAAGAGAGTCCAATTTAAGTCCATAATTTTGGAGGGCCAACTCCTATCCAGAACCGTCTCTAGATGCAGCCAGGACAGCAGCACGCTTCACGGACACTGCCATAATTATGTGCCAGGTTTCATGGCTCCATTGGTCTGGCTTCCCAAGGGAGGTTCAATCCACTGCCAAGGACCTCCCATTCAATGCCAGAAGCTGTTGATGGCAAAAACTGATGAATCACTTCATACCCTGAAAGACTCAAGGGTGATGCTCCGCTCCCTGAGTATATACACCCCTAAGTCAAAAAGAAAACAGGGTAAATACTACCCCACACAGCGCGCAAGGTCTGGCCCATGCGCCTCACTACAGAGGTACTATGACATGCAACGGCAAAGACAGAAGCCTCCAAAGCATCGCCAACCTCCAGCCCAATCATGGACATCCCACCCGCCCTCTGCAAAACAACAATTTTGAGGGTTTGGTCAAGGACCCAAAAGACCTCCCCCATTCTTCAGTATTGACGCCATCATTAACCATCCCCTGTTTTGGATACTGGTTGACCCCTTTCTACCCAGTGTGGCAATCCATCACCATGGACAAATGTGTTCTGGAGATAATCCATTCAGGCTATACAATACCATTCATCTCTATCGCCACCACCCATCCTCCCTCGTAATCCCTCTTCAGGGATCCCTCTCATGAACACCTATGGCAAGAAGTAAACCACCTCCTACATCTGGGCACTGTGGAACACATACCATCACAACACAGAAGGGGAAGGGCTTTTAGTCCCACTACTTTTTAATCCAGAAAGAGAACGGAACATGGAGGCCTAGCTTAGACCTCAGAAAACTCAACAAATTTGTAAGGGTCCAATGGTTCAGGATGGTCACATTAGCAACAATAATACCAACACTGGAGTGGGGGGACTGGTTTTCAGCCCTTGACCTCCAAGATGCCTATTTTCATGTAACCATATATCTCGCGCACAGGAGGTTCCTAAAGTTTACTCTGGGCACAGAACATTGTATTGATAAAGTTCTTCCATTTGTCCTGTCGAAATTATTTTGTTTTTTTTCAAAGTGCTTGTGGTAGTGGTGTGACACAACTCCACAGACAGGGAGTGACAGTTTTTCCGTATCTGGACGATTGTCTGTTAAAGGCACCCACCGAGGCAAATGTCATAGACACTACGCAGATGACAATCACACTTTTCTCACAGCTGGGACTACAAATCAACATACAAAAATCAGTACTAACACCCGTGCAGAAACTGGACTTCATCAGGGCGCATCTTGACACTCTAGAGGCAAAAGTGTCACTACCAGCGACCAGATTTCTCACTACAGATATTGGCATGGACTTGCCTCCAACTACTAAGCCATATGGTGGCAACCACATTTGTGGTACGATGCGCATCTTCACATGCGCTGCCTTCAGGGCTGGCTAAGAACGGTTTACATACCACACAGACACAGCCTAAACAGACGCCTCATAATGCCATTCAGAGTCAAAGACTCGCTACACTGGTGGACGCAATCCAACAATGTGTGCGTGGGAGTTCCTTTCACACAGACTTCCACCTTCATTGATTCTCACAACCAACGCCTCCTTGACTATTATGTCTGTCCAACCAGTGGGAGAGTTAGGAGTCCTCATGGCACATTTATCTTATACTGTCTTCTTCAAAGGTAAGGTCACCCTAAGATCTCATCCTAAATTTTTATCTAAAGTGCCCTCCTCTTTCCACCTGAGACAACCAATCCATCTTCCCTCATTCTTCCCCAAACCTCATGGGAGTAAACCGGAGTCAGTATTACACACGCCTTAGCGTTCTACCTTGAGAGAACCAAGACCTTCAGAAAGTTACCAAAACCTCAGTTACTGCACAGGGTGAAGAACCTTCTTTCCTTCGAGGAGCATTCCTGTGGGTGCTCCACTTCAGGTGACTGGCGAGCAGTGCCCCTCAGTGGATGGAAGGGGCTTTGAAGTTGCATGAGTAATTGATAATACTCCTACCAATGCATCCAATCTCGAGCTCTGATCTATCGCATAGTGTTTTGTAAAGGTGTTCATGGACGCCCAGGTGGGTGCTTTATATATGTTCATGGTGGGCACACTATTGAGAAAAGCTGCTGAGACTGATAATGTCCTGGCAGAGTGGGTTCGGATCTTCAGTGGGGGTTGTATGTCATGCTGTTGGTAGCATAGGTGAATGCATTCAGAAATCCATTTGGACAGCCTCTGCTTGGAAATGGCGGAACCTTTATATTGTTCCAAAATTGAAATTAAAAGATCTCTGAGATAGTGTCCTGTGGGTGCTTCACTACCCACCCTTCTCCTCTCTACTTCAGAGTTCAATCTATGGACTCAGGGTGAAAAAGGAACTGGGGGGGGGGGGTGTCTGGTTGCACGGTACTAGATAGGCTCCAACAAAGGCGTGAGACGGGGGAGAGCGCATGCACGACCCAGACAACTGCTGAAATTCTCCAATCAAAGATGCAGGGATGCACCAACACCTGAAATGTAGCACCCACAAAGGCACCATCTCGAAGACCTCATTTACTGCACAGGGTGATTAACCTTCTCTTTTCAGGTGAACTAAAAAAAAAAAAAGAGAGAGAGAAATACAAGACATGTACTAGTCTTCTATATCATACCCTCATAGATTTGTCTGTTTCATTCCATTCATTCATTTATGAGAAGCTATCTGTCCTAAGACATGATTAAATAGGTATATTCAGATTTGACTATTTGGTTTCGTTGTTGACATGGGATTTTTTTTGTTCATTTATTTGGAATTTTTTGAGGCGCAACCTCCAGTGAGGCCTGATGAACAAGACACAAATGCCATCTTGCTTTGTTTTGTGGCTCCTCTCTGCAATAGCTTTTCAGATAAGATCTTTCAGACTATCAGACTAAAACTGTAGTTTTACATCGTTGGGAACAGTCAGAGGGAAGTTTTGCACAAGTTCTTTCCTTTTCCTAAACTATATAGCACACTTACCTTTATTTGAAATGTAAACATTAAAAATTAGGGCTGTCAATTAATTGCAGTTAACTCATGCGATTAACTCAAAAAAATTAATTGTGTTTGATCTGTTTTAATTGCACTGTTAAACAATAGAATACCAGTTGAAATGTATTAAATATTTTGGATGTTTTTCTACGTTTTCAAATATATTGATTTCAGTTACAACACAGAATACAAAGTGTACAGTACTCACTTTAAAATACAAGTTCTTTATTACTTTTATTACAAATATTTGCACTGTAAAAAAGATAAACAAATGAAATAGTATTTTTCAATTCACCTCATACAAGTACTATAGTGCAATCTCTTTATCGTGAAAGCACAACTTACAAATGTCTATTTTTTTTTGTTACATAACTGCAGTAAAAAACAAAACAACGTAAAACTTTAGAGCCTAGAAGTCCACTCAGTCCTACTTCTTGTTCAGCCAATCACTTCTTATTTACCATGACACCTGAAAGTGAGAACAGATGTTTGCATGGCACTTTTGTAGCTGGCATTGTATTTACATGCCAGCAGGTATTTACATACCAGATCTGCTAAACATTCATATGCGCCTTCATGCTTTGGCTACCATTCCAGAGGACACGCTTCCATGCTGCTGATGCGCATTAAAAAAATAATGCATTAATTAAATTTGTGACTGAATTCCTTGGGGAGAATTGTATGTCTCCCACTCTGTGTTTTACCCGAATTCTGCCATATATTTCATTTTATAGCAGTCTCGGATGATGACCCATCACCAGCATGTTGTTCGTTTTAAGAACACTTTCTCTGCAGATTTGACAAAACGCAAAGAAGGTACCAATGTAAGATTTCTAAAGATAGCTACAGCACTCAACCAAAGATTTAAGAATCTGAAGTGCCTTCCAAAATCTGATTGGGATGGGGTATGGATCATGCTTTCAGAAATCTTCAAAGATCAACACTCCAGCGCAGAAACTACAGAACCCAAACCACCAAAAAAGATGATCAACCTTATGCTGGTGGCATCTGACTCAGATGATGAAAATGAACATGTTTTGGGCTGCACTGCTTTGGATCGTTATTGAGCAGAACCCACCATCAGCATGGACGCATGTCCTCTGGAATGGTGGTGGAAGCATGAAGTCACATATGAATCTTCAGTGCATCTGGCATGTAAATACCTTGCAACGCCAGCTACAACAGTGCCATGTGAACGCCTGTTCTTACTTTCAGGTGACGTAAATGAGAAGTAGGCAGCATTATCTCCCGTAAATATAAACAAACTTGTTTGTCTGAGTGATTGGATGAAGAAGTAGTAGAACTGAGTGGACTTGTAGGCTCTAAAGTTTTGCATTGTTTTATTTTTGAATGCAGTTTTTTTTACATAATTCAACATTTGTAAATTCAACTTTCATGATAGATTGCACTACAGTACTTGTATTAAGTGAATTGAAAAATATTATTTTTACAGTGTGGATATTTATAATAAAAAAAATAAAGTGAGCACTATATACTTTGTATTCTGTGTTGCAATTGAAATCAATATATTTGAAAATGTGGAAAACATCCAAAAATATTTATATAAATAGTATTCTATTGTTTAACAGTGTGATTAATCGCAATACATTTTTTTAACTGCTTGACATCTCTAGTTAAAATATGTGACTAGAATAAAACTATATCATGCTATATTGTAGGTTTATTTTCAAGTGACTCTTGTGAATTGAAAGCAGGAGCATTATCTTTTTACAAAATGAGGAAAATCCTTTCATTAATTTAATTGTGATTATTGCATTGGTCCTTTGTATGCAGATAAAGGATTTTACTTCCTGCTCTGCATAAAGTTTGTCGTTGGATATTTAATGTATATCTAGACTATATCTTCTGAATAGCTCCTTAATACAGTGGACAGACACTGCAGGCTTTGGTTGCTTGCCCTCCGATGTATCACCTAATGAAGTCAATTCCAGTGTATTCAAAATCACAGCGGCCATGCACCTCAACACCAATGATAGACAGTTTGTAAGTAATTTGTTGGAAAATCTTTGTATTTACTGTCATTGTTTTAAGTAGTTGAACACAAAGATCTAACAAACCATTGTAGTATTGCAGTTGATAAAAATTGATATATAATTACATTCAGTAGGCTATGGATTTTGATTTGTTTGCTTTTGTAGTTAGCTTCTGGTTAGTGAAGGGAGCAGAATATTTCTTTAAACTTTTGTTCAGGAACATCATTTTAGATATATCAAAGTGTACTGAATCTGCAACAGTAGATTGTAATAAAACTCCAAGTCCTTAATTAGCCATTTTTACCTTATCAGACTACCAGTGACCATGTTAATTTTCACATATTTGAACCTAATATTACTCACTTTATTATAGTATGAGCTTAGCTTGATTTTGGCCAGCTAGGGCCCACTTTGATCTAATATTTTGACTGATTTTTATGGAAATCTATCCTGTATAGATAAATAATATTTAGTTAACATGGTGGTGATGCCCAGTTGTTGTTTCCTTTCTATTTCAGTGTTCGTCTAATGAACGAGTTCACTAATATGCCAGTACCTCCTAAAGCAAAACAAGGTGAGTGGGGAAAAAAAGTCTTCAGAATAGATTGCTAAACATCAAATGGTATAAACTCTTTGAGGGCGGGATCCTTTCCTTATTGTGTGTTTTGGGTAGTGCCTGATGTAATGGGATTGGAGTTCATAAGCACTAATGCAATATACATAATTTTCCAAATATGACTTGTGCTGTACCTGAAAAGGGTCCATCACATACATAAGGAAAGAAAAAGCATTTCTCTATGTAATTAAGCTGTCTCATGGGTTTCACATTATCTCAGACTAATCCATTGTATTATGCATTTACAAAAAAACTCTAGTTTTACTTGAGAAATTTATGTACATTTGTTATACTATTCTGGGTTAGATAATTAATGGTAGTGTTTCATACTACAAAAGACACCATGAAAATGAGTCATTAGTTCCAATGACTTCCAAACAGGTGAGATATTTCTTTGGTTTGTCTTTTAGTTTTTGCCTCGGTGAAACAAATCTGTCTTACTTATGTGATTAATTTTTGGGGTCATTTTAACTACAGATGGTAATCTGTCAGCATAGTTTCTGAGGCCAGATGTCTTCATTAGTTTGAACATTCAGCGTCAATAACTTTTATGGGTTTTTCCCGACCCCACAATTTGCCTGCCTGGTTTTGACCTGCCTCGTCGCCAGTGGTCCCTGTTGAACACGTTCTGGACCGGGCAGTCTTTGTGCAGCCAACCAGTATTGCTGGGGCCTTCGTGACAGCCTTTTGTGCAGCTGTGGTACAATATAGACGATGATGCACATTGTTGATGAATGTCTGCCGACTAGGTTCAGCGGTGGCCTAGAAGAACTGCATCACGCCACTGAAGATGCCATCGCTTGGCTACACGACTATGCGCATGCTAGATAAATAAATGGGTTTTTCCCTAGCTGATATATAATGTAACAAGTGACCTGTTAGTAATAGGAACATAAACCAAGAGACTTAAGAATAGGTTTTCTCTGAGTACAAAGTAGACACAGGGGGAAAAAAAAAATCCAGAATTGTAAATTCGTTCATTTTCTCATATGTTCTGGTCAGCTCAATTTGGTAAAGTGTAAGAGATTAACATCTTTTAAAATACTGACTTGGTGTCAGTTTTTCTGGACCATCTACTGATTCAAGTAGACACATGATTCTTGAGGAAAGTTGCAGAAAAAAAGGCCATGTCATAGAGCAGGGGTCGGCAACGTTCGGCACGCGGCTCGCCAGGGTAAGCACCCTGGCGGGCCGGGCCAGTTTTATTTCCCTGCTGACGCGGCAGGTTCGGCCGATCACGGCCCCCAGTGGCCGCGGTTCGCCATCCCGGG